CGATAAGTGGCGGTAAAAAGGCATTAATTCATCGCGATTGCCATTGTTGCTCGACATCGTACAAAAGGAACTTCCGAGAGGACCTATAGGTCCCGCTTACGAGACGATGCGAGAGGCAACCCCAGAGAGAGTGTCAGGGCCGCATCGAAGGAAATCTCGATGGCCCTGGTAGTCTCTTTGCGGTTTTCTTTTTTTCGCCAAACAAAGCCATATATATACATTTGAGTATGCAACATGAGTCACTTAGCTTTAAAGCATGAAATAAATTTTACAATTTTATTGCAGATAAAACGTATTAAAATATGGCTTCAGAGAGCCTATTAATAATATTTTATCCGTGTTATTCAAGACTATATAATAAATATTTAATGATATTTTTGAAGAATTATTTTAGATAATAAAAGTAGCCATGATTCACGTTGTATGCATGTCCAACTTCAAAATTGCTAGTAATAGGGCGTCCATCATCTAATCTAGCCTTCAATTGATGAAATTAATAACGGACTATAATATTATGCAGTATATCTTTCTTTAAACCTTTCAAAACAGAAGAATATTAAATATAATTAAAATAAAAAAAAATTATCGCTTAAAAGTTGGTATATTAATAGGATTTTAGAAACAGCTGCGGACTAAAATATTTCCGGAATGTAAATTACGCTTGAAAAATTAGATGACAAACTCTAATTTTTCACTCTTAACGTCACGCGGAGTTCATTTCGCAACGCAAAATTTAATTCGAGATTTAGTCGCTGAGATCGTCGAAAGTCGGAAAGCTGCAATCAAATTATGGCCCTTCGCCAAATTCCTGTTCGACTTAATCCGCTCCTGACTCGAGTAGTATATTCCCAGCAACGAGCGCTTTGTTCCGCGTTCCCCTATTCGCAAACGCGGCACAGTTGCGGTAGCAGCCTAAGCAGCCCCATAATATTGTTCGCGTGATGAGCACGCGACATGTGCGACTCGTTACATGCTTGATTGCCTTATCTCTCGTTGCATACGTGGCACACGCGTGTGTCCGTCAAACGCGAAAAACAGTCTGCGATAAGTTTCTTTCGCGAGATGCGATCTTGGCGGAGATAACTCTCTCGGTCCTTTTTTTCTATTTTCATCTCCCTCTCCTGATAAGAACTTAAAATAAATTTCATTTTGCCAGAAATAAGTTTTATCGATTAAATATAGTAATTAGAGAGCCACTAATGTAAAAAAAGGCACAAAGAAATAGTATGGCGAATGGTTAATTTAATAATCTAGGATAACAATAACTATCTTCAGCGGATTTTTAAATAAAACGATGATCTTATCAAAGAAATTAACTGGCTTTCTTAATGGCAGCTAAAGTTGTCATACAAATTAACTTTGATAAACTTGTATCTAAAGAAGATACTGATTGAAATCTATTAAATAATCTTTAAATCAACACAAAAGTGTTGTTGATTTTTTGATACACGTATCGCGTGATGTTCTTTGTATATTTATGTCGAGTTAATATGTATCCATTTATGAAGCCTTCTCGAGACGTTGTCTAATTGCCCCGGAATTCCAACGAGCGCGTCTAGGTGAAACCGATTGCAAAAATCTCGGAGAAAAGAGAAAAACGGTAAGGCGCGAGATAAATTATTTCCCTCGGGATTATATCGAAGAAATGCGATATCGGGAAATCTCGTTTTATGCAACGACCGACGTAACGTTCGGCACCTGCGAAATAAATTCGACGGTAAACAGAGTTGTAACTCGAAATACGACGTTTCTTCAGTACTGTCTGTCAAAGACCTTCGACTCGCCGACGTAAATCGAGTGATTTCGCAACGGTCCTTTCGGAGAAAGTCTGAATTGTGTATAGAACGAACGTGTAATTGCGACAGGCGATATACTCTCGCCGCATGGAAATCAATACAAAATATGTCAAAGAATCTTTAGTTCGAACAAAACTGGGACACTTTGTACAATATTCAGGCGTAATATGGAACGCGTGCGTTACGTCTTGCAACGTCAAACCCATCGACTGCATACGACAAGAAAAATTACGCGACTGCTCTATTTGTTCGATACAGCAGGCGGTATTATAAATTGCTCTTCGTTTTACTCTCGCGTAGACCGATTATTCGTATTCATTTCTCGGTTTAGTTCCTGAACCCGACTTACGTAACATTGCGTGCGAGATTTCGTTCAAACAGACCGTAGTGTCGCATTACGTCGGTCTGCGAGACGTAGTTGCATGTTATGCGATTTGTCATTTAATTAGTTTCGCAAAAACGCACGATTAGCCATTAATTCTACATTGTTTCTACGTTTCTTATTAACAAGAAAAATTCAGAAATAAAAGCGATAATGCAGCACCGGAAATGATATACTTTGTGAGAAATGTCTGAAACGGATAAAAATACTTTAGAGACCTATTCTGCAAACGTTAACGATATCGTTATGTGCTTTGCACAGCTTTTCTACAGCATATTATATCTATAGCACGTAATGATGTCGTTAACCTTTAACAGAATAAGCCCCTTAATCATATACAACAATTCGTTTACTTATATTTATTGCATTAGCGCAATAATATTTAATATGCAAGCAACTTTATTATAAAGGTACGCTTTTAACGAATCACTTCCGGTGCCCGTGTTCTCGCACGAGTTAAGGGTCAACCGCGTTACGTAAGTCGCCGAGGGAAAAAAAATCGCAAGCACATGACAGACGTAATTTGTCGATTGTTTCCGCAACAATGTGTAATTGTGGTAAAAACGTCAACTGCTCGTCGCTGCAATAGGTACACCGTTACGTCGCCTGGCATGGTGATTTCACCATCTAATGGTATTGTTCGGGGAAACACTGTGAAAGCGGAGACTTTTTACGTCATTAGCATTTGATGCGACGACGGTGAGAGATCGGGTCGACAAAAATTTTAACGCACTAGAAAGTGGTCTAACATTACTGCGACGTGTGGGAACACGTTACGTGACGAACGTTAAACACGTTAAAGAGCCAGCTTAGTCACTCGCTACTCTCTCATAATTTTGCAATCCAACGAAATTTATCAGCCTTAGGGCCAGTTCCACAAATGTCGGTTAACTCTTAATCTCAGGTTAACTTATCCTTTGTTTCTTTCTAACGTCCCCCTTAGAAAGAGACGAAGAGTAAGTTAACCTAAGGTTAAGAGTTAACCGACATTTGTGGAACTGGCCCTTAATAGATTATAGAAGAATTGGCAGAAGACGATTCGACAATACTCTGACCTGGAATCTTTTACCTTTATAAAAAATAAAATTTAATCGAACCGAAAATTTATTACGTACACTTTTTCTGCAATTCAGCGTTTACTGCGTGCAGTTAAAATGCTATAACAGAAATTACGAGTGCTCCGTATGTGCGACTTGACCTTGCAACTTCGCACCCTCCCCCGTCGCGTTCCAACATCGTAAAAAGAGCGGCCACCTGTGCATCCCTTCCCACATTCCGAGCGTTCTAAACAAAGTGAGGGTTACGTTTGAAAGGTTCTTATATGCGACACGCGACGCAAATTAATGAGGGAAAGAAAGAAACGTTTCATAGCACGACGCTATTGTCATTTAGGCTACTGTTTCTTCAATAGCAATCTCATCAATATTCTTTGCGCGGCGGAAGCTCCGTGTTTTTGTATTTTCTGATTGTATATTTCGTATTATTAGCAATAATACTATACTTGCGATGATATATTTGCAAATTCGCTGTTTATCGTTAATAAAGATAATAAACAACGCACACTTTTATTTTAAATAGATCTAATAGAAAGAATAAGAGAGGAGATTATTAATTAATCTAAATAACAATTTCTATTTGAAAGAAATATAAACATATAAATAAACGATTTTATTCTGCCGCAATAGAAACATCTTAAATCAAATATTTAAAGCTGAAACTAATAAAAATTTCTGAAATCGTAATGAAACTTTGCTCCGGAGATCAGCTAAGTTTGTCTTAGACTTTTTAAGACACCGTGTATTAATAACGTGTGTATTAATAATGTATCAATCAGCGTATATTTGTTTTCTATTGCGAGGTTATTGATTTTCCCAATCGTACTGACGTAAGCAGACGACGAGACTGCACTTTTTGCAATCGACAATCCTATAATATTTTCAAGTGAAAGGAAAGCGCGACGGTTGCATCCTAGTGAAATAAATTACAAGGAAGGACTCTCCTTGTTAGAAGCGCCCTAATCAAGCCCAGTAGTTAAGGCAGCCCTGAGCTCGGGCTGTACCGAAAAAGTGGAGCAGAATGTCGACTCGCTCGAGCCAGGTGCATCCAGGAATATCTCAACTATGCTGAATTTTTAATATATACGATAATAAATAATTACATTTGCCGCTTCTTCAGGGGGATTTAAATATTTTTCAGTATCCTTCAATTATTTCGTCATGCACTAAATAAAATACACTCAACGCTCGTTACCGAACATCGTATGTATGTACATACATCTAATCACGAATACTCGTTATTATAATAATCGAAAGACTGTAAGCTAACCAGCATAAATTAGTTTTTCGACATCTTGAGATATTTAAGCGTTTATTCGAGTCGTTGTGGGAAAGGGATTCACAAAAACTGTGCATCGAGCAATCCAAAATCAAATAAATTATTGTGAAAATATATATAATTCTCACTGTCTCAATTCTCGATGTCTCTGTACATGAGCGAATTCGCGACGCAATATTCGATAATATTGGAGAACGCCGCTTTTGCCATCGCCCGATCGATTGCATACTCTTTGCTTCCTATCAGCATTCTATTGACATTATCGTTGACGCGCATCTACAAAGGGAGCCCTAAAACATTCTAGATTGATTGCCGCTATGGATGAGGCCAAAATCCATTCCGGACGATGGTATTCGAAGATACCCCGAAGCGCTGACCGATTTCGGGGCGCCAGACACCTGTCTGCCGACGCGGCGATCTCGATCAAGAATATACCGAAAGAAACGCAAGAGAGCGACAGGGCGAGGAAAGTGAAAACTGACACGTACCTGCGTCCGAAACGACGATGATGTCGGCGCCGCGGAACAGCTGATCGACTCGCTCGGTGGGTGTCGGCCTCGCCTAACCTCTCCTCCCGGCGCCCTGCTGCTGCAGCTGCACTTTCTCACGCATCCGACGCACTCGCGGGGACCGACGCGACGGGGGTTGAGCCTTCGACGACACGATTCCGGGGCACGCACCGAGATCGTTCCAACCGCGATCGTTTTTCACTCGCGACGTCTTCTCGCCTCCGCGACTCGATTCCGGGACTCTGCGAATTTCCGGCCTCCCGGAACGACGGGAACGCGTTACTCCAGGTTACTCCAATCCGGGATTCCCGACGACCGGGAAGGGTACCGGAGCACTCCACTCGTCGCGTCGCATTGTAATGTGATGAAAGCTGGAGTGATCACTTCGATGAGACGAATATTCGCACGGTATCTGGGTGGCTTCGGCGCGCGGTGGTGCGAATATCCGCGGCCAACTTCCGAGCGCAGGAAGGTACCGCGACGTCGTCGTCGGTTTGATTAACGACACGCGTACCCGCGCGGCGGCGGCGTCGCGACGCTGTGCTCGTTGCGGGAATACGTCGCTTCGGTAACGGTTATTGCTACTTGTCGGCGAGTCGCGTGCCCGCGACGCAACGTCGCACCCGGCAGGTCCATTTTAACGACCGCACTCGCACTCGCGGCGTCGCGTCCTGCGTCGTGACGCGCAAATCACACTCTCGATTCAAACGAATTAACCGAACACGCTGACTCACGCGACGTACCTCGCGGCAGGTGACCAGCGCAGATCCCGGGGAAGATGGAACGCGGAATCCTCGGCGCAGGGATGTCGGGCGCGCGGCATCCTCGCCGCGATCGGGGGGTTCATGTTCCTCCTCGCTGTTCCTACCCGCCGTATATTCACTGCTCTGAAGTCGGCCGAGACGCGCGCGCGACGCGTCGCTCGACGCTACGCGCGACGATCGCGATGCGCTCGCGACCGAGGGGGAAATATCCCCGCAGCCCCGTCGATTAATCCGCACTGTGCACAGCGGAGTAAGCTGGCCCCGCTCTATTTACCGTTCGCGCGAGAAGAAAGCGGGGGCGGCTGCCCGAAGCGGGCCGTTCGGACGAGCCGGACCGAGCGAGCACGAAGACGGGCGGACGGACGGACGGACGAACGGCTGTGTGTGCGCGCTCGCTCCCGCGTATACTCGACGTGATCGCGCGCGCGGTAAAGACGAGACTGAAGGTGCCGTTCGGCGCGGCGCGGAGCACGTAGACGACGCGCGCATGCGCGCGCCCGTCGTCCCGCACCCCACTTCACGCCACGGCCCGCGGCACCGCGCACCGAGAGCTATTCGCTGTCTGTGTGTCTGCAGGAATCTTTTTTCCCTTGCTTGTAAATAATCTATATTTCTTAATTCTTAATTGACGACGTGGAAGAAATCGACACATTGTTGACAGGATTTTTTTCAAAATTTCTACTGGTTTTTCATATCCATTTTAGATTAATCTTTTTGATTGCAATGCCGATTATACCTTTATTGATTACCTAAATTATTACTTCGCAAAATATACAAAAATCGAAGAAAACATGACTACATTAATGAATAAAAGGAAAATTTCGGAAATAAATATTTATCGAATTTTTTCATTTAACAAGTTTTGCGAAATAACGTATTTCGTCGATTTTATGTAATGTTCACAGTATATCGTGATTGTTTTACATAACGCTATCAATATCGGTGCAATCTGTGGACGGAAATGATTTACAAATAAAAAGTATAAGAAATTATTTATGATAAAATCTAATTTAATTTTAATCAATAATCTCGTAATTATAAAATACTGATATATATATTATTTATATTTTTATTTAATATTTACAAAATTTATATCTTATAAATATAATTTATAACTTATAATTTATAAATTTATATAAATTTAATTTATATTTAATTTCTAAAAACATGTTATAAATTATCCAATTATATATATTTTTTAATAATTAAAAAATATTATTTTTTTGAAGAGAAATTTAATTTTATTAAATTAAGATGTTGAATTTTGCCTGAATTTTAACATCCTAGTATCTCTAGCATTCTTGGAATCCTACTATTATTTCTACCTGTTCTAGTTTCCGTAATCTTATCCCTAACAACCCGATGAGTATTCCTAGTAGTCCTAAAAGGGTCCTATTATTTAAAACAAATTCCGTGTTTCTGTTTTAAAAATTTTATTAATTTGTATATATGCAAGTTCCCCTGTATCATTAAGTGATTATAATCGTTTATCGTAATTATATAACCACGACCTATTTGCTGGTTGAATTACCGCGATTTTTATTTCGCGAAGAGCTCTACTTGATGATTACATTCAGCGGGATAATTACAACCCGCGATCATCCGAGATTTGAAGGAATGTATATTCTCTATAATCTGAAAATGTATCTGCGATTTAATTTTGTTCGTGTTTTTCCGTTTCCATCTTTAATTACATGCTATCGTAATGTGTATAAATACATGTATACTTTACATGATTTATATACAATTTTACTTTTAACATTTTTTTCCTCTCTAATTTTATAAATATACTGTTTTTATTGCACATAAAGAAATATAATAAATATACCTTATTCCCACTTTTATTGTTTGTGAATTATAAACATTATGAGAAAAATAAGATTTCTTTTTTTATAATTCTTTAAATCGTTCAACTGAACGAAAAAAAACCAGAATAGAGAGAGAGATTTTATAACAGACAATGTATAAATAATAATTATTCACTTCAAGATGATTCTGTCGTTGCCCAATCCCACGTCTCCTCCCTCTTTTCAAGTTCCTCGGTTGGAGTCGTAACACTCGTAAAAATTCATTAATTACGATCACGCGCAAATTAGTTATCAAACACGTGATCAAAGAATACAGTTAATTAGGATCGTACGATACTTTACGCGGCACTCCCAAAAATATTAATCGTACACGACACGCAATTCCACGCGATACAGGAAACATAAAGGTACGTACGATCAACCACTTTCCGTTTTGATAAATAGCCATTTTGTCTTGATAGGTTGTTTTATTAATTTTTAAGGTAATCTTGCACGTTAATGTCGTTAATATTTATCAGTTTTTCGTAAAAGGTGATCGTGTATGGAGGAACGAAAGAAAAAACGTAGACACGTGGAGCCGCTACCTCGCGCGAATATTTATATCTTGTAAACAATGACACGCTCGCATCGCAAAGAACCGGTTTATCTCGTTGCGAAATTTTTAATACGTCGTAAAATTAGTTTACACCAAATATTCTACTCAGATTTTCGACTCAGTTATCGATGTGAATGGATCAGTATGTCACGGTCTTTCATTATCTCCTCTCAATTTAGCTGTCCGCTTATTATTTCACGCTCTACACATGAATTGCTTTCCGTTATCTGCATTGTTCGATTCAACGTGCTTCGTGTGTCATCTTCTCGATCTCAATTGATAACAATTGATCACGAAAAGTTCAAAGCGCGTCACATATAGCCATCAATAAATATTTCTGAATTAACATGTGTGTATGTATACATAAGACATCACACGTATACAATGTATACAAAACATTGAAATTAGAATCGTTGATAGAAAATAAATTGACATATATTATCATTTTTTCTTATTTCGGCAAAAGTTAACATAAATTCCAAAAGCGGCTTAATAATTTCTATAATTTAAAACAAGAAATTTTAAATCTGTTATTTTTACGAGGTTGGTTCTAGTGTGTTAAAACTTTCTTAACCCTTCGCAGAACATGTGTAATTTTGCTGCTTCCGTCGAACATGTGGGTCTTTTAAGCCAATTAAGATTTTCAAGCTGTAATAGTGCCATAAAAAATCTGAAAAAATTCAAGTATACTTTCGAAGGCTTTAAGAATCTATTTATACCGTTATATACTCCTGATTCTTGTTTGGGTTTTTTTTATGAGTCCGTGAAGTCTCCGAAAAATTCGAAACTGAAATATCGACCAGGTCTTTAAAGCCCCACTTGTTCTGCGAAGGTTTAAACAAAAATCGCGATCTCCGACTCGTAATACACACGTACCGATTTGATGTTCGTTATATTATCTTTACGATTCAAACGATATTTTAACGTATTCACGTTTGCAGTTTTAATACTTCCTTTCGATTTATTACGCATAAATATTGTATAATTTCTCTCTTTCTCAAAGATTAAAGTTTTTCCACTCTGGGGAGGTGTCGTTTATCCATAAATTTCTTTCACCAGATAAGACAATGAACAAAGAGTATGATCTTAAAGTGATGCAATATCTTCGTGAGAAAGGCCTGATTAGCAGGAAAAACGATGGATGCTCCATCACGATAATGCGCCCACATACATACCATTGCTAATCCGAGACTTTTTGGCTAAACGGATAACGGAGATTACGATCGTTCCCGCGTATTTCCTCATCTTGCACCGGTAGACTTTTTTGTCTTTTAAAATAAAATTGAAGGTAGAAAAACGGTCGCTTATTGCAGTCAATTATTGATCTGTCATTACATTCTATTATATTTCTGCTGGCGTTCTATCGACAAAATTTGCAGCAAACGCTTTCAAAATTTCTCGATTTGATTACAAAGGAAGCGTTCCAGAAATAATTCCGGTACTCTGATTCTGTAATTCTTAACGATCGACAGTGTCGTTACCGCTTTATTATGTTGTCGGTGCGCAGGTATACTATATGATAAAAAAGCTGCGCAACGATAATATAACGATACTGTCGTTGGAATTACAGAATAGGGCTACAGGGAAACGCGGTAGCGATGATGCATACAGAGAGTGGAGCAAAAGTACTTCGAAGACGACAATGAATAGTTCATAGATCAGCCGGGAAACTTTTTTCGAAAAGTTCGGGAATTTTCTGGGCAGACCTCATATTCCGAAAAACCTCGCACGCGTATTCATAGCATGCGTAACGTGATCTATAAGTTTTCAGTACTGCTAAAATATTTCGGAACACACCATTGATCAATGATCATGAAAGCGTCTGGCACCTAGCACGGATAATAATACGAGATAGTGGGTCTGTTTTTCTATTGCTGAACTGACTATTGCTGCAGCAGTTCAGAGATTATCTTTTTTACTCCACAACTCCACATTGGAAGGGAAAAGATAAACTCCGAACTAGTGCAGCCAGTTCAGCGCGCAATAGAAAACAGATCCATTTTCTCGAGTGAGAGAGCGACAATAACACAACAGCTGGCACGTTCAAACGCTCGGCCGTTGTTTTTTTTTACGCGTAGGGTTCCGCGTCGCGCGCCGGGCCACGTAAACAAGGTCGTCGCGCAGTTATCGTTATCATTCGCGCGTCGAGCGTTGAATGAACAGGTAGTGTGGCACGGGTCGCTCCTATAATTTCGTTATTATTCTTCGAAATGCGATCGTTCTCGAGCGAAAAATTATTTTCGATCCGTGCGATGGCTTTTGTTATTAATGAGCTCGTTCGGAACGACGTCTGTTTATCCGTCGCGTGGTTTATTCGAATTATTCGTTATTATTGCAAATCGAAATGACAGGGAATTAGATTTTCAAAGTATTGTATCGTGTACAGGTGGCAATTCTTTTCTTTATATCAAAATAACGCTGATGTTAGTGCTGGTCTACAACCTTAATTGCTTTAGAGGATATTTAAGCTCTAAGCCGTAAGAAATTGACCAATCACAGTCGAGTATTTTCCTCATATTCCACTGTGATTGATCAATTTCTTTTGGCTTAAAGCTTAAATACTCTTTAAAGCAAGGTTGTAGACCAGCACTAAGGAAAAGCCGTCTTTGGATAAGAAAAAGATGTATTTTTGAGAAAACAGTGGTTCGGAATCGTCAAGCGTTTAATCATAAAGATTATTTCACGCTTGACGCTTGTCTGTCTTCGCGTCGCCAGCGGCCGGTGAGTCACGTTCAATGAAAATTTTGTATTGTTTCATTTGCAGATGATACGCTGATAGCTGCTGGATCATCCTATAAGTAATGCGGTTTTTTAGAGAAATGAGATAAAAAGTTTGACATTTTATTTTTAATCCAAAATATATTTTCCATCATTATTTACAGCTTACAGCTTACAGTTCCTTCCTATCTCAATATTAAATTTTCAATTTCATGACGTCTTTCAGTTTTGTGAGCCAAAGAATAAATCAAGTTCCCTCCCTTTATCCCGTATTATTTATGGG